GTCGCTGTTGTCTTTCTCCACGGGGTTATTTCCACCCACAAGCTCTCTCGATTCTTTCGAGGCTACTTCCTTCGCCCCGACTCTCCTGTACACCGGACACACCTCTGGAAACTGAAAATACATGTTTGTGTATCCCCTTTCGGACCCCCCTTGGGTATGTCGTGTGTTACGTTGCTCTACGCCTGAATCGTTCTCGTATCTTAACACACCTCCAATATCTGGTACATGGTCGTAAATTCCCATAAGAGACACTCGCAGTAGCGCAGCACGCTTCGGCGTTGGTCCAGTTGAGCGAACTCCGAAAACTACAGGTTCACGACCGCGTCGACGAGAAGAAAAGTCTTCCGAACCCACCGAAAGCGGTCGGAATCGATCTAGCGCCGTTGAACTTGAGGTCAGTCGAGTGGCTGGAGCGGTTCCATCGAGAAATAACCCCAGCTTCTCGGAGTCATCGCTTCGGAGTAATTCTTGGGTGGATAGCGACCCTGTGAGGGTTCTCGGAAAGTGAAAAGTCCCATCATGCAGACCCCCTACACGACGGCGATGCTGGCGCTCTGCTTTCTGATCCATCGAGCTTTTCCCAATCTGAAGTCCCTTTGGCAACACGAGGGTGCACGACAACTGCATGTAGTTCCACACCATGTCGCTCAGTTCTGGCGAGACTTCCAATCTGTAGTGATGGCAGAACGATGGGATCTCGTGGAAACGTATCAGGTTGTGAGTGTTGATCCCCACAATGTACAGCATGACCCAAAAATCCAAGTAACATAGCTGACCGTCATGATTCAGATCAACGAATCGCGCTTTGATGGCCGACACGACAGTGTCGAATACGTCGTCTTCTATTGCAAAGCCCTGCTCTTTCCAGAGGCAACGCAACTTGAACAAAAGAGTCTCAAAATCACTGACCGCCATCGCTCCGACACGTTCGTGATCGTAAAACACAAAGCAACTAAGCATAAGGCGAAGCTTTTCTAGCAATTCTCCTTCGAGCTTAGCGTCTCGTGGAGGATGGACAAACAGCAATCTCTCCACGGCACGGAACTGGGCGTTCTGGTGCTTCCATTCGCTAACTAAAAGCCGCAAAAAGCGATGCAGTTCAATCCAGGGCGCAGATCGATCTCCACTCTGACCAACACCGTCGCTAAAGGCCGCAGAATCTGTCCTCACTGAGCGGGTTGGTTCTCTCTGTGTGTATTCCTGCATGAAGAGCATGGTATTCCTCAGGAATTCTGGACTTACGAGAGGATACAGCAAGTTGTCCTGTGCACACAACAGAGCATGCTCGATCTGGACGAACTGCCAATACGTCGATCCGTCCGTGGCATCAGATGTAGCAAAGCTTTTGCTCCCGTTGCGATCGCATAGCCGACCTGAAAAAGTATCGCCATTCACAACCATTCCACGAGAATACAACCACGAGTAGCAGCACACACATAACGCAGCTAAAGTAGCTGGTGCTTCGTCCCACTCATCTTCGATATGGAGGCCTAGAAGCTCACCAAAAACTGCGACAACGTCGTAGTCCGGCAGGAAATGGCACATGGACATGAAAAACTGCTTCAGCTTCATCTCTGCGGTGCTGTGGACGCCATAGGTGGTCAGGAACAAGTCGAACAGCGCTCTGAATATCGAACACTCCGACGAGCGTCTCGAAGAGGAATTTTTGTACAAACTCGTGTGGGCAGCAGTCGCTAGTTTGCTGTAAGCTTCGACAATGATGCCAAACGTAGCCTCCCGCGAGAAATGAGGTGCGTATCCGATTGGGGGAAGTTCGATGGTGTGCAGCCTTTTTTTACAGTCGTTGCACTTCCATCTGCGCTTCGTAACTTTGGCTTTATCATCGTCGGTCCAGATAACATGTAGTTGAGGCGCCGGCCTGCACCAGCAGTAACCTTTCCTCCAGAACTGCTGAAACATGGGCGAAAGTCGGATATTGTTCACCAGAGCGTTTCGAGAGATGTCCACACCAGAATTGCCATACGTTTGAGCACGTTTGACCCCATTAAACATTTTAACAGCAGTGGTAACCCGAGTCTTCCCGCTTGGAGCAGCTTGTACCTCGTCAACATGCTCTGGATCCTTTGTGCCACTATTGTCTCCGCTGGAAGCAGCTTCTTGGTCCTCTGTGTTGCCATTGTCTCCATCACTATGCCCTATTTTATCATTGTTACCGTTATCCTCTTCACTTTCTTCTTCCTTATTTTCTTCTTCAAATTCTTCTTCATTATCGCCGTCTTCGTATTGTGATTCCTCGGGAGAGCTCTGGTGAGTAAGCTCGACAGGTGACGCTGTAACAGGCTGGTCACTTTCGCTCGGCAAGACTTGAGAATGTATAGAATTATGAATCAGTGCTCGAGAGCTGCCACGAGGAACGTTAGAGCTACCGGTAGTTGTGTCTTGTGAAGCAGATTCAAAGACGCAGCTGTCACCAGGTGGACGACCACCCTTAAAAGCTTTCATATCTTCCCTGTTCAGGCTTAGAGGAGCGTGCACACTGAGACTTTTAGTGGAGCTGGCTGGCGATTGATTCTGCCCGAATTCTCCTAGATCTGCTGAATCTTCCTCCCATCGAACGTACTTCTCGCCGAGCAAATTGTAGGTCACAACGGGCTTTCGTCGCGCTCGCTGTTTCTCTCGCAAACGCTGAGCACGAGCTCTCTCGCGGATGTTACCCTTGCGCTTTAGAGACCCCATCATTGTTGGCGCATCAAAGGCCCGGTAGGATGTATTAGGCATCGAAAACAACCCCCTCAATATCTGGAGAGCTTCCTTGCAATCCACTCGACTTTGAGTCGTCAATTTTAAGTCTTTGAGAGTTTTTGCTATCAATGACGCGAAGCCAGGTCGCTTGATGCTCGGCAGTTCGGGCCGAAGTGCCAAGAAATGTGTAATACGATTAGCTGCCATCGTGCTGCTATTGCCGTGATGAGCAATATAGTCCCGTAGATACTCTCGTAAGACAACGTCTTCGACCAGTTTAGGTTGAAGCTTATCAGACCTCGTACTGCCTTGTGTGTCTCCTGACAATTCCTCTGCTCTCTCACCCCGTAAGCTGAAAAACGCCTCGCTTTGGTCCCCCGTGGCTGGTGCACTCTCGCCTGCAGTAACACTGGACGAGTCAGCTTCAAGGTGAAGCACCGCGGAGGGGACGTGAAGTGTCAAAAACTCATCCATCACCTTGTGCAAAGCCTTGGATTCTTCTGTGGGGTCCTCAACCGATCTAGTTGTTGGTGTGTCAGAGTACTTATCCTCGCCTGCCGGTAGGATTTGGTCCGTTTGCTGTTCACTTGGGTGTGTATCTGGGTCCAACAGGTACGTCATATTACTCTTGCTACGTGGGGCAAATGTGAACTTGCAAACCTCGTGAGCTAGAGCGACAATCGCCTGCTCCCTAACCAACACCATATCAATGATCGCGGCTCCTATATCGAAGTATCTTTTCTCTTGGACACTACCGGACTCCGATATGTGCCAGTGAATAACTGTCATATCGAGTGAGCAGCTCAGAAATTCAGGCAAACCAGTTGAGACTACATCTTTCGAAATACGACAGACCTTGGTTACCCGACGCTCGTGCTTCGCTAATACGTCCAGTCTTTGAAATGAAACAAACTTAACATTAACCCGCCAAACAGCCAATCGACCATCGTCGTAGCCGACGCTCACGAGAAGTTTTTCTCCAGCTTTCCGCCCACCCATTCCAAAGTTGTCTTCTGCACGAACACCCCTCATCAACTCAACACAAGACGGAGACACTGGATAACCCTCTGCAGTACTGTTGACATAACCAATCAGTTTCAATGCCGGAATGCTCCACAGCTTGATGATACCGCCGGTACCTACCGACGCTAGCAAAGTGCGTTCCCCACGGACTACATCCGTGTGTGCCAGTTGAATAATATGCGATGAATGCGCAGCCTGGACTCGCACATTTGCTTTGTCAATCAAGCGAAGTGTTAAGCTGCTATCCCGAAGCCCATCAGCACGCCACCCGTACAAATTGCCGCTTTCTGTTCCAGCGATAATAACTACCTTACGATCCACCGCTTCTTCGAGCGTATCACGAACCGTGTAGTTAGAGAGACCATCGGCGTTATGAGGTAAAATATCTCCATACGACCGTGATGGCCAAAATTCTGCTCCACCAACTTCATCAACAGGTGATGTAGTCTTGCGCTTGATAACGCGTTGGAATGTGGCGACCGACAGCGTGCTGATCTGGTCGGTAAGCTGTTTGTCTTGCAACGTCATCACATGTTTGTCACATAACACGTCGTACACGACCACTATTCCGCTACTCCACGCGAGAATCACAAAGCAGATTTGCAACTGATCGTTCGTCATCGTTTCCATCGAACACACGTGTCCTGACATTTCGGATGCGGACGGGGCGACAACCAGTGACTTTGACGAAGATACTTGGCTTGAAGCTTCGCCGAGTGGAAATACCCGAAGTTTACACGCTGCAGTACTGCTGAGAGAAAAAATTTGAGAAGCGTTCGGCCGATCGAATGCTCGGATGGCGTAGACTTCTTCGATGGAGGCAAACTCCTGCATCACGTAAAGAACGGTCTGGACCTTCAGTACATGAATAACATTTTCGCACACGACCAGTAAGAGATTCTCGAAGCAGCTACCCATGTCGATGGTAACGCACATGGTCAGCGTCCTCAACGGAGGTCCCAGCGTGTCTTGGTTCCTAAGAAGTCTACCAGAAGTTTCCTCTTTTCCGATCTGCTTCTGTCCTCCAGCGTGAAAGTATCCAACCAAACTTAGTCTTGGATAGCGGTGCTCTTCAGAATCTGACGCATGAGACCCACTCGTAAAGGTTTTAGTCTCAATAGATAGCTTCCAGTGCCTCACAGCCCCAGTATCTCTTTCAGCTACAATAACAATGGCATCTGCCATTCTACTCGCAGCAACTGAATAGCCAGTCGAGCCTGGTGCTGGGGTCGTGGTGACTTGAATGGATGATATCACCTCCACATTTGCATCTGCGGTACTACCTGCTGTAGGGTTGTACGGGTCTGCATCGACAGTAAACATCTCCGATCTGTTCGATCTGCTGCCGTTCACGTTCCACACTCTCAAGCCACCTCTTAAAAGCCCAGCAAGTAGCCAGTCTCCACATAGCGACACAGCCATTGCAGAAATCTTATGCTGAATCCTAACTCTTCTCACCAACACCAGTTTGTCTCCTTTCGGCGGATTCTGTCGCCACACAAGCATCACACTTGAGGTCTCTGCCGAGTCAGGATAATCACTTGCAGCTCCGTATAGCTCCTTCAGTCCTCTCGAACCACAAACCAAAGCTAACGTGTCCGGATGTCGAAGAGAAGCTCGAGTATTCTCAATAGCCAGCAGCATACTCGGCTGTGGGTGCTTCTGATCAGGATCTGCACTCCAAAATGTCTGACGGTCGTCTAATCTCTTTGCCAGCTGCAAAATCTCCACGACGTTATTCGGGGCTTTGGGCAGCATCCCTCCGCCATGATCACAGTCCTTTAAGTGGCTGGCGAGCACCAATCGGTCCGTCAGCGGATCGAAGTGTGCGCACTGCAGTGTGTGCGTCTCGGGGCCTTGATACACCAGTAGCTTGCGCAAGGTTGCTGGCTCTAGCAGCACGACGTAGTGCGTGGTCGTCGTTGGCACTTTGGTGGCACCTCTGGGTCTCGTGGCCGTAGTGTATACGCATATAAGCACGTCTAACGTTGGTGAATACTGCAGTAGCACATGGGGAACGACAACTTCAACGTCGCTCCGCATTAGCCGCTTATGATGCTCTTGTTGTTGAAGTTCGAAGAATGATGGTCGTTTTGAACCTTGAGTTGCAGCAGTGGGACTGGAGTCGCTGGATTTATCCCACTGTGCATTGTCAAATAGTGATACACTCTTGAGCTCGCGACGCAGTGAGAAGAGACGTAGCACGTGCGGCCGCAGTGGATGCGAGTCAAATGTTAGCACATGGTGGCGCCGGGTGTCGTAGGTGGCAGAGCGCAGGCTTAGTCCACTCGCCGAGAGTTGATGCCGCAGCTGCAGCGTCTCCTTGGCGAGCATCACGATCCTGAAGTGAGGAGTGTCCCGGCTCTGAGCTTTGAAGTTTTTAATTACCGGTATTTGAATTTAAGAAAAATAACTAGAATAATACACCTCCAATTCGGCACCGGTATCAGTCGATACCCTGCCAGATTTAATGATTACGCGAATCGGATGCGCAATTACCTTGCCCATCACCACCCTAGCAATTAACCTCAACGGTTTTCCCCTCCTCGCCGAGGGATGACACGCCGCATCGATCTGATTTTAAATTTTGAATCGGACGTCTTCATACAAACACACACTTTGATTTTTACCGCCAAATACAATGGGACATCGCCCTTCCTCCTACATGTCACACAAAAGCAGTCTTTGTGCGAGAAGCACAAGTCAGATCCTGCATGCTCTCACTCCGAACTTGCTCGTTAGGCAACGGAGCGCTTTAAGACCCCCCCAAGCAGCGCACTACCGTCCAGAGTATTCTTAAGCGGTCGGCGGACGTTGCCGCCTTGCCGGATGCCTATCGCGACCGGAAGCGCTGTTGCGCGCCCGCGATTCGCTCGCCTAACAACAAGATGATGCAGAAGATTGACGTAAATTTGGTACTGAATTAACAGATAAAATATCAGTGCACTGGATTTGCGTTTGTTTTTTGCTTTATGTGTGCACTTATGCCCCGGAGTGGTTACCGCAACCTTAACTGTGAGACATGTAAGGTTGCTTTTGTAGCTTATGGTTGCTTTAGACGAATTTAAAAATTTCCGCTGAAAATTTCAGTTTCTATACTTTCAGAAACTCGTAAGTTCGTTTCGTTTGTATAAGTACGCAATTACAGAAAAAGTCATTTTAAGTACGCTTCATTCATAGCCTCCCATTTCGAAAGCGCACGCAGAGTGGCGCAGCGGGAGAAGGACGGAGGAAGTTCACGACGGCTTCAGGAACTCTCCAGTCACCCACGAGAAACGCGACATCAGGCGTCATGTCCGGTGCGCATTTTAATAACAGAAGAAAGAAGCTATACTACGCTATATAGTAAAATGGATCTGTTTGTATGTCGAAGGGCGACGTTGGCGTAGCAAGTCAACTAACAGCTCACGACCACACTACGCTCAACTTACACTGAGCATAGAGAAGGACCATTCCAGCGATGAGGATTACAAACCTGATGATGAAGATATCGATGTCGACATTCAGAGCACAGAACGGGGTAAGCTGTGCAAGTTGACCTTAAATTATTGCTACTTATCATAATTATATATATATGTGACATACTAACAGGTGTGAAGTGTGGAGAGAATACTGGACATAAGGATGAAGATGTATCTGGAGAGGAGAACAAACTGGTAGAAGTGAACAAAAAGGAGGAAGAGGAAAATAAGGGTGCGTTCATTGGATCTATTCCGTCGTCAATGGTAATGATATATCGGTCGTCAGTGGTAATGATATATCTAAATATTGTCATAAAAAATGTATTGTACGCATCTTTGCAGGTAGCAACCCAATAAAAGCCAAAGGTACAAAAGGTCACGTGCCTCCCAGGATAATGCAGCTTCCGCTCCATCTATTGCGGAATGTGTCGGACAAGCAGAAATTATTGGCAGTAGCGAGGGCGACCGTGATGGATACACGCCACCAAAACGGAGTAGCAATCATCTTGCTGAGCTTGCGTCTATGTCGGAGCAAGGCCAGACGATTGAAAACGTCGTTGCTCCCTTTCCAAAAGTGACAATCAAGACATGGGGTAAATTCGACACTTTACTAGCGTCCTACACAAAAGCAAACAACCTGCACTTTCGAGTTCGCAGTTCCGAGTCGACTGAAACGTATAACCGGTATGTATTATGTTTATTTATGCTATGTAATTTATCTAATGGTCGCCTAACCTTAATTTGTAAAAGTCACACAGACGAGATACCTTTAACTTTCCGCTGGCACCATAGGGTTTTTCGGTGCACTCATGGCGTTTCTCAGCATTCTCGATCTACTGGGCAGCGCACACGCAAACCACGGATCTGTGGGTGCTTGGCGCGCTTCACACCCACCGTGATGCTTATGGATGACAGAACATTTCAAATTGTCATCAGAAATGAGATGAGTTGCTCTATCTAGTTTCGTTTTATACTATACTTAAAACAACTGACAACTGCCTTTCTTGCAGAATCATACACACTCCCATGTAGCTACTCGTGTTGAAGCTGCTTTGTATTTGACAAGTAAAACGATTCCGATTGACGAGCAAGACCTTGAGGATGTGATCACCCTTGCGGACGCCCGAACGTCTTCCAAGCAAATTTCGAATTATCTGAACGACCGTATTGGTAAGAATCCATAATTTTTAAGGTCTATTTCCTGGCATAATATCAGTTAAAATTATTTTTCCGCATATAGGATGTAGAATCACCCCTCAGCAAACTCGCAACCTCTTGCGCAATATTATTGGGCGGAATTCAGCGGAGGATCGTTTGAAAAACATGCTTCACGCGTTGAACCAGCTAGACGGAAGTGACGTACTTGTCATCCAAGACCAGATGGATGTCACATGCGGAATAGTGATGCAAACGAAGCTACAGAAGCGAATATTCGAGTTATGGGGCGAGACACTTGCGATGGATTTCACACTCGGCACCAATAATCTGGGCTATCACTTGGGTACGTAGTTTTACAGCGACCTTTGGGCACACCAGTAGGGCAACTCTGGAGCAGCTTCAGTTTCTAACGAGAAACATCGCTTTGTGTGTACAGGCAGCCTTGTGGTCACTACTGCTACTGGTAGGGGGTTTCCTGTTTTTGACTTCGTCTGTCTGGATGAACAGGCCGTGACCATTTCAACGATCCTAAAATATTTTAAGGATAAAAATCCAGGGTGGAGGGGTATCACATCAGTTGTGATCGACAAGGATTTTGTGGAATGGCGTGTACTCAAAGATACATTTCCAGACGCGAAAATTTTTGCTGTGCCAGTTTCACGCAATAACATATTGGAAGAAGGTGATGCGGAGATCTAGTTTTCGGTTGACGGTATCTCAACGAGATAAACTCATTATGCTGATGTGTAGACTGCTGTATAGGTACGCCACATACTGCTTTTTATATATAAAAAGCAGTATGTGTAGTCTTCGTATTGCTATGAGCATACAAGTAAGTCAGATAACAATCTGACTTACTTGTATGCTCATAGCAATACGAAGACTGATTACGACTCGCGATACGAGGCGTTGAAGCGGTACTGTGACGACAACAAAAGCATAACCATTTTCGCCTATTTCGAGAAGAACTGGCACTCGTGCCGAGATATGTGGTCCAACTTTTCTCGTGGCATTTTTTTTACAGCCGGCAATACTACTCCAAACCGTGTGGAATCGAATTGGAATCAAGTAAAAATGCTTCTGGGACACAAAACGCGGATCGACAAGACAATCGCGGGACTACTTCAGCATCAAGTCACTGTGGCGCATCAAATCATCCGTACTGTTGGGCAGCATTGCTCGTCCACACGCTTGCCGAAATCTGTCACCCCCTTTTTGAGAGGTGTTGCTACAAGACTTTCTTCTGGTATGTTACTGAAAGTGACAAGAGAGTGGGAGCGTTTCGTGACTCTCATGGCCAACGCCAAATGCGAACGAATTACGTCTAGTGTTTTGCGATGGAAAATTCACTGCTACAACGAAACACACAACTGTGACAGCGTAAAATGGACGTGCTCATGCCTATTTTACTCGAGTCATAATCTGCCTTGCCGGCATCTGATGCTGTTGGCCTCTACAGAGCATGAACTGGAGGCACTTCCCGCCGCTGCAGTTAAAGAGCGATGGAGTATGACGTCTGCGCTGGATATACAAGAGGAGTTAGCCTCCGCGGCAGCCTTGCTGGAGCCAATTGTGCAGATGTCCAAGCTAAAGTCGCCGAAAGGGTCGCCGAAACGGTCGCCGGAAGGGTTGCCGGAAGGGTTGCCCTATCAACACCAGAAGGGTGGTTCTTCTCCAGTCAAACAGGTGGTGTACGTTCGACTTCGTCGCAATGAACGCGCAAAACATACTTACGCTAAGGCTATGATGGAACCTCTCCTCGAGCATTTGTCGAACATGTCAAGTTCCGAGTTTTACCAAAAGCTAAGTGCGTGGAAAGACACAATCGACGAGGGACTGAAAGGCGGGACGACTAAGGTGAACACTGCCCATGACACTGAACACGCTACTGACTGGGAGAATGAGAGTGACGTATTCAGTGGGATCGATCCTACCGAAGCTATTGAGGCAATCGACATAATGAAGATGTTTGAAAGTGAAACCGAAGATCTCTCTGATAACAAGCACATTCCGGAGAATTACGAAAGACGAGACGATACTGTACGTTCGGCTGAGGCAAGCGGTACTGTAGCGACCGGTGCTCCCGCACTGAATCCTAAGACAAAAGTGCAAGAGCGACAAGTGGACATTATCAGTGTGCCTAAACCAGTGCGACGAGGCAAAGGGGAAACTCAAGTGAAACAGTTGAAGCTTGCTCGAGGGGCCGATCGACTAGCAGTTCATACCTACCCGAGTCACTAAACAGTTTCACTTAAAGAACTGGTGGCGTGGGCTAGGTATACTTCAAATCTAAAGGAAGTTCTAGTGATGATGGAAAAATACCCCGTCCAACTGGAGAATTCGTACCTGCGGTGTCGAACTATGGAGTGTCGTTGGGAAGTCGTGCGCCCATCTGATGTCATGTACAATTTTGTGATCCCTTCGGATCTTGCTCGGTCAATGCAAGCCGTGACGGTAACAACAGCGAAAAATGGTAACGCCCCTGACAAACTGGACAAGGAGCAGAAGAAGCAAGGATTTGTCAACGATGTCGTTGTCACTATTGATCCAAAGATCTGGAAATTCAGCGGGTGAGTCCACACCGACGTCACGGTTGCTTATAGGGTTGCTGTAACCCGTAAGGTTGCTGAATGGTCGCTGTATGAAATATGAATGCTGCAGGGTTGCTTTAACATGGTACACTAACGTTGTGTTTATTTTTTTATGCAGTGAATACGTGGGTGCCTTGACGACATTCTACGAGGTTAAGGCCAAGTGTAGATCTTGGATTGAAGACAGGAAATGGCTCGAACAAGACTGGAGACGCGTCGGGTCTGGATTGGAGCTTTTCGCTGTTGAAACGAAGACTGCAGGTCTATCAGATGCCGCTTCCCGGAGTCGGCACCAAGTTCTAGCCAATGAGGCTATTTCAAAGTTTACATCAAGTAAATTGCGCACTCAATTTGTGACAAGGTCCAGTTCAGTTTTTGTTGGCTTCGAAAACATTGTGGGAAATCTCTGTCGAGGCTGGTTGAACGACAGTGCACTTGATTTTTGTCTGGAAGCTATTGTCGAATCAAACGGACAGTCACTATTGCTGTCGACCCTAGTGGTGGATTTTGGTTGTACCAAAATACCCAAGACATCTATCCAAGATACAAGGTTCATTGTCCATCCAGTGAATTTAAATGCAAGTCACTGGGGTCTGATTATGGTCCTAATCGACCATGACGATGCAGACAACAGAACACGTGTACGACCAATGATGTATGAGCCTCTTATCGACGAAGAATATCGTGGTGAAGTTGTTGAGGTATGGCAAGGAGCTACGATGAATAACGAGCGGAAAGAAGGCCTTGTCGACTTTGTGGGGCGGTGGCATGCCTACTCTGTATTGGGATATAAACTAACGATAGAACCGGAATTGTGGATTGAAGCACCACAACAGCCTGACCACGTAAGCTGCGGAGTACTAGTTGTTGCACAAGCGTATAGCTACCTAACGGGGAGTATGCAGCTTCAGCAGAACCAAGTACCCAAAGAAGACGTCAGTATAATGCGCCTAAAAATGCTGTGGATGATGATATGTCATTCGCACGAACGCTCGTCATCCGAGTACGAACTAAATAGGGTGAACCATGTCCAGCAGCAGTTACAGGATCAACTCAGATAAAGTAGGCCAAGCTGATAGCACTTCAACACGATTTTGGCAGGTCTTGATATCTTCTTATCATTATTCAGCTTGTTCATTACAAGCTCCAGCAGCACTCTTGATACCTACTTATCATTACTCAGCTTGTTCACCAGGAGCCCCAGCAACATTCCAAACGATAGCGTCTCCATGCGAGATAGGGTCACGTTTTCATCTTTAACAGTCTTAAATAATTCGTACCCGTGCTCCTCCCTCTCTTCGATAAGGGCTTGGACCTCTAGTTGAGCCTTCATGATCATCTCCAGACCCGTGCTGATTTGCTCCAACTTCTCCTTCAATGCCGCAAGCTCCTCAAGACGTGCGCTTACCAACTGCCGCGCCAGTGCTGCCTCCTTCATAGCAAATCTGCGCTAGATGTCAGAAAGAAATGGAGCTCATGCGAACTTAGCTCATATATCTAAATTTAGACAATTGAACGGATAGTTGTAATTTTGTGGTCCACAGGTAACTGACGACATGTAATTTATAATAAATTTCGTTTTGCTAAGGTTGCTTCTGGTTTGGCCAGGTTGCTGGAAGTGTTGCTTTAGTGACAGGTTGCTATATATTTCGTCGTCAGATTGTAAATGGGGAAACTTATGGTTGCGGTAACGCCATTCCTTATGCCCTGGCACTGTTGATATGGTCCGCCCTGCCGAATTGGAGGTGCACGACTTGTAGTAAACATTTACTCTGAAAAAAAAATATTTTTTTTCAAAGTACGGTAGCGCTACCGGTAGGCATGAAGCAAAGCTCGCGCTTACAAGTAATACCGGTACCGGCACACCACATGACATTCGTTTCATGATTTTTGTATGACATGGATACACTTTTGCACATTAATCGATCAAAGGATGAAGACGACAAGCCGCGAAATTGCTGCGGCGATAGCGCTGCTGTGTGTATCCCTGCTGGCGGCTAAGACAGCAGCACATACCGTCCACGTGAAGGTTCATGGATCGTACCTGCGCCACCGTCGCGAAAGTCCGCAGAAGGTGCTTGAGACGACTGAATCGACTGAGTCGGCTGAATCAGCTGAGACCATGTAGGCCTGAAGTTCTTCATCTCCTGCAGGATGAGATTTTGACACTGATTGGTGCTGTAGTGACTGGACGGGTCAAGGCCTGGCATCGTGGAGTGAAGTGGAAAGCAACTTAACCTCGACAGTCGAGACGCTGTGAGTGTAGTAGACCCATTGGATGAGTGATAGAGAGGGGAGAGGCTGATTGCGGAATTAATACTGCAGGAACGTATCGTCCAATGTGTTGGGTGCAGTTGTGTTTGCACGGACATTTGAAGAGCTACAGACGCTGTACGGAAGGATAGACGTGGATGTTGCGGAGGCAGTGACTGATCTTTAGTTGTGTATACGCTGCAGGGCTTGCTCGAACGCGTCTCTGACCCAGCTGAACGTGAATATGACATACTTGGAGACGCTCATTGCGTCGGCCAATCGATTCACATCCTTTAAAGATGTTGTGCTGTCGACGACAATTGAGGAGCTGTATGTTGCTAGAATACTTTGGGGGGGAAGGGCTTGCTCTGTGGATGAGAACTGATTTTTTGCATTTTGGGCAGTGACCTATCAGTGAACCAGTTGTCGGACTGGGAGAGCTTTACGTTACCGCGAGACTTGCAGATATTGTACGTGGCTCAATGGACGGGAAAGCATAGCAGCGTTGCTTATTTGTGGATGTGAGTTTTGTGTGGTAGGAACGTCAGTCACAACGCTATTAGGGACATTACCGGCTCCAATTTATCAGCTGCGACGGACTTGGTGTCGATGTAAGAACTCGGTTGATGTGGATTTATTTGGCAAATCGCCGTTCTTGATACTCACGGCTGTAAATGGTCCACCGAACCAGAGACTTGTCGTCGAATGGTCTGACATCTGTGGTTGGTGTAATCCTCCCAAGCAACCTCACTACGTTGTAAGCATTCTAAACTGGGTTTACGTGTGTTGGAGTCCTTGTTCTTACTCTTACGGCTACTTCGTGTCTGCTGCTTCCAGGGATCTCAGCAATAACAGCATCGAAGCCTTCGAAGTTCGTGAGACCGACTTCGCTGTGCTATCGAACCTCACCTCGTTCAAGATGGACGATCTGGAGCAATCGGGTTGTCCTTGTAGCAGTGCGACTTCTGAAATGATTGGCAACGTCCAGGTTTGTGTTGTCTCCGGTACGACGCGAACTTGAGAGCTGACCCTCTGGTGGGATTGGTGCAATTGGCTGATTAACTCGTGATTTTTACTCAGACGCCGTATTCCAGACTATTTACTTCCGCACTGAGAGTGGTAGGAAGCTGCTAGTTATCGGCAGCACTATGCACAAAAAAAAACTCACCTTGCTTATGGTTATTGCACATTGTTAGCGTGGAAGATAGACAAGAGTTTGCAATACGTGAGTGTGATCTTGAGTGCCTTGATTAGCCTTTGGTTCGTGGCACTTCTAGTGGGCCATTCAATCCAGAGGCATCGGCATGCGGCTAAAACGGACGAGCAGCAACGCGATACGGTAGAGTTCTCCACTCTTACGGCATCAAGACACTGGTCGCTATCGAAGAAGGAAGAAATGCCCAACGACGTTCGCTTTGACTCGGAATTCACGTCGTTACGCATTGATCCGTCAGATGTGATGCAAGTTCGTACGCTGGCGCATGGCAGCTTTGCGATGACATCGCTCGTGCATCTCGGGGACAAGCAAGCTGTCATGAAGAAGGTTTCGGTTCATTCTCAGGGCCAGGATCGCGACCAGATGGTAGCGTTCATGGACGAAATACGCGTGTACGCGAAGCTGGAACATCCAAAGGTGGTGGGTTTTCTTGGTATTATGTGGGCCAGTCTCTCGGATCTCTCGGCTATCGTGGAGTACGTTCCACGCGGGAGCGTTGGGGCGTATCTGAAAGAGAAAAAGCACTCTCGAAAGTCTTCACGATCGACATTCTCGTGGCTGGAGGTATCCGACGTATCCCCAAGCAAACTTTCTATTGCCTTGCAAGCGTCCGAGGCTCTCGTGTATCTGCAGAGCTTTGCACCTCCAATTATCCACGGACATTTAAAAGCCGATAGTCTGTTGCTTGGATCGGCGTGGGAAGTTAAGCTGAATCGACTTGGCTACAGGCTGGACGCATCTTCGTTATCAATTGAAGATCGGGCGTGGACAGCTCCGGAAGTTCTGACGAGTGGTGCGTTTGATGAGAAGTCAGACGTTTACTCGTTTGGGGTCGTCATGTCCGAATTAGATCGTTGCAAACCACCGTTTTCACGAAAGGATTCGCGACGTCAAAGCGTTGATGGCGGAGCCCCCCTTCAACCCAAATTTCGAGACGATTGTCCGCCAGAGATTCTAGATATCGCCCATAGCTGTCTAAAGGACGACCCTGCCGACCGCCCCACTGCCATGGAACTTCACTACTCTTTTCGGCAGTTTCAACGTCAAAGTCAGGATCAACGCTGATAGTTAATCGACTTTAACAGCACGGTAATAAGTGTCCAGGACAGTGAACATGTAATGAGGTACGACTACAGAAGTATTTCGTTGCAGTATGAGCAATAAATAATACTAGGGACGTAGTACCGGGATACAAGCGTTTATGATGCTTAGCAGTTAGCTGCAACCATCAAATAATTGCATTCAGTGAAGTGGCTCGTTTCGGTGAATTACTTGCGCCTTGCGGTGGTCGATTTGGCATAAGTTTCACTACATTATTGCCTTACAGCCTCGTATCCTTTACACTGCAGCATGGGTCCAATTAATACATGCGGAAAGTAAGCAGCGATGCTCTATCAATCTACGTTCGCCACGGACCATCACACTCGAAATGGCACGTCGTACAAAACTGAAGTCACCAGTATTATCCGATAAGCTTAATACGTAGGGGTGTCGCGCAAAACTTGAATCCTGTTTCCACAATTTCAGCTGTGTCATAGACTGATTTCGCCGCGTGAACTTACATTGAGCGCAGCGATCGTTTGCTGTGGATGATTCAGGCCTCTACCGGAATTAACGGTATTTTTGCAACCGATCAATTTTTTGCAACCAGTGGCCCGTAAAAGTCTGCAGCACCAACAAAATTAACCAGTTTGGCATCATAACAGCATCCCAGTTAAAGCGCGCTATTGCATTACAATATTGTGAGCAAAGCGACAAATGCCTTCCGCCGTTCTTACGGTTTTGACCACTTTTTACACGGTTACAGAAAACACGTTAATTCCGGTACGGTAAGCAGTCTACATGTACTGTGTCAGTCGAAGCGCTGCTATTAAACGAAGTTCACGCTCCGCAGCGACGTGGGGAATGAGTTGTCCAATTGTTGCATTGAAGACATGCTATAAGAGTGATTACAACACGTTTTACTTGCAACTTATTACAGCAACCTTGATTCGCGAATCGTGGAGGCATACCTTGTAGACGTGTAAGCTAAAGAATATGGGAAATACCTTGGTATTGATGAGAGCCGAAACATTGTATTATATATAATGTACATGCAGAAGTTCTTCTGAAGAAGGATAGCCGCGTTTCGTCTAAAGAAACGTCCGCCGTAGAGTTCTAAGATAGGATTGAACGCTGGGAGAACGAACCTCTCTACCTTGATTCGCGAATCGTGGAGGCATACCTTGTAGACGTGTAAGCTAAAGAATATGGGAAATACCTTGGTATTGATGAGAGCCGAAACATTGTATTATATATAATGTACATGCAGAAGTTCTTCTGAAGAAGGATAGCCGCGTTTCGTCTAAAGAAACGTCCGCCGTAGAGTTCTAAGATAGGATTGGACGCTGGGAGAACGAACCTCTCTCTATCGGATAGGATCTCCTGCCACGCTTTGACTCGAAGGCTTTTCTACTCGATCGAACAATGTGGGGCTCTAAGTATTTTTAATACTTCGAATTATTGTCAAGGACCAACCCTTTCGTGATACAAGTACACGTAGGGACCAACTTTTAAAAATACATGTACCTTGAGCACATGTACCGCCATTTGTCGCTCGACAATGCCCGTACTTCGTATCCTAAAGTATCAAGGCTAGCATTATTAATAATACCGGTGCGGGCAATTGAAACTTCAGAGCCCATTTGCAGTGGGCAAATAGTCGAAGTTTTGGGGAATGTTTATCGCGACAAAGCTGGATTGTCAAACTTTCCTCATGTCTTGAATTCACTATGCTGCAAAGCCCTGAGAGAGGCAGGTATTACTACATGCGCCAAGACAGTGCAAAAGTTGGCGTCGCAGTGTTTGAATTGAACGAGTCTGAGCGAGCAATTCCCACACAAACTCCATAATGCCCCATCCATCCCAGCTTCCACTTATCCGGGGCCATCTGGCCATTCCAAATAGTCTCGAGAGAACAGCCAAGCCTTACTGAAGCGTAGGCAAGGCCACACAGCGACCCGATCTCATGAAAATGCCACCTGGAATGCCAGAATAAAACGGGCTCGATCCAAACATTTCCCTAAGTCCGGTTACGGTGCCCGTTTGCAACAGTTCGCCGCTCAAACGACAAACCGCACGCTCAGCAGCAAGCAGCTCAGCAGCAAGCAGCTCAGCTCGGTTCATTCCACGCGACACACAGCGTCCCCCAAACAGCATTTTTGATCGGAAAATGGTGCAGTGGAGTCTAGTATGCGGTCTGGCCGCGCTGTACTCCGCAGGAACAGTGAAGGCGGATCCTCTCAAGCTCGATAGGGGTGAGACCCCGGATGAGTTGACGACGATGGATGACAACTTCCCCGGTTACGGTGGGTTCTTGACTATCGGCACCTCGCCGACGTCTGCAACCTTGGGCACTGGTGGCGAGGTTGGCAAAGAGTCTGATAAGCTCAACCCCGGACAGGTGCATGCCTCGCGAATAGAGCGACGCCTTGAGGTGACCAAGACTACAGACATGCAGAAGCTTGAGACGTTCTTCGGCCTTGAGCTTGAGACTGACATCACCAAGTTGCCGACCAAGTACCAGCACGACCCGGTTCCGTGGCCAGCCAGTTATTGGCCTGTGTACGCTGACAGTATCAACTACAAATGGGCCAAGGGAAAGCCCAGTCCCGCCGAGAAATACGCTACTGCATTCGGGTACGACGCCAAGGAGTTGATGGACAAGATTTCAGCCAAGAATGGTATCGACTCGCAGACAAAGCGGAAAAACTGTACGACGGATGCTGAGTGTAAGCCCCTCAAGGACGGAAGTGTCTGCGCCAAGCGTGAAGGAAAGACGTCGGGCCACTGCATCCCGACATGGTTCGGTATTTGCCACGCCTGGGCACCGGCAGCTATTCTGGAGGCAGAACCTGCCTGTGCTGTGGAGCGCAACGGAACTGTGTTCGAGCCCTACGATATCAAGGGTTTGATCACTCTCGCGTACGATGGCTCCAAGATCCCGACTATTTTCACGGGATCTCGATTCAACGGTAACGACAACGCCCCGAACAACACGGACCAGTACGGCCGCTTCTTCGACGACCGTCGTCGTGATATTAGTCCCGGATACTTCCACATTGCGGTGACCAACATCATGGGTCGCTTTAACCACAGTTTCGTCGTCGATATCACGGCTGGTAACGAGGTGTGGAACCAGCCTGCTCGCAGCTATGAGATCATCCGACTGTCCTGGACGACGCCTAATGCCGCCGCCAAGAAATACTTCGACGTGGAAAAGTATCCGTTCAACGATGCCGCCACGAAGATCGCCGTTGTCACCACGCGTTTCAGCTGGATCGTCGAGTCTGGTACTAACGGGCCACTTGTGAGCACAGGGCTTGTAGACAAGTCCACCACTAGCGCCGACTACGAATACATTCTTGAGACTGATGAGACGTACCAGATTCTGGGTGGTGAGTGGCTTTCGGGCTCCAAGGCCAACCACCCCGACTTCCTGTGGCTGCCAGCTAGCAAGCCTGACAACTCGACCATCACGTCGGTGGGTCTGCACTACGGCGAGATCGAGGCACTGCTTGATGAGTCTACCAGCAGCAGCGGTGACTGCAAGGCTGTCTCGCAGACTTCGACGGCTACTCCGGCCGCTGCTTCTTCGACCGAGTCATCAGCTGCTGGCTCGGCCCCGGCCGCCTCGGGTGACGAGGAACCAGCGTCTGGTGATGGCTCTGCGCCTGCAGCCTCTGGTGACGATGAACCAGCGTCTGGTGATGGATCAGCTCCTGCCGCCTCTGGTGAAGGCTCAACTCCGGCCCCAGCACCGGAGTCCGGTGATAGCTCTGCACCTGCCGCTTCTGGCGACGATGAGCCGGAAACTCCTGCTGCTTCAGGTGACGGCGCCTCTGCGCCTGCTGCGTCAGGTGATGACGCTACTCCAGCACCCGCGTCCAATGCTGGTTCACCGCCGGTGGGTTCTGGTGATGAAGAGCCCCAAGCGCCAGCAACTTCTGGCGCTGAGGACCCAGAGGAGTCCCCGGCCACTGAAGCGCCTACATCTTAGATCGGAAAATCGACTTCCTAATCTCTGTGCATATCAGGCGTACATCGGCGTGGTCTCCGATCATAAGCGAGGCAATAAAGCGTGTTTGTAGATGAAAATATTTCCTGTCTTTATCGGACAACTTATTATAAAGGTGTTCGTATTTTAACATCACGCACTTGTACTCACGTGTCGTAGCGACTCGGTCAGCGTCGCCTTGCGCGAGGTCGTCAGTAAAGCTCCAGGCGCAGTCAAGTCCTGTAGTAAACGCCAAAGTTCCTTCGCTGTCGGTCGATCCCCCGGGTCATAGCTTAAACACATCCGAGCTAGGTCCAGGATCGCTCGCGGACAGTCCGAATGAAACGCTGGCATCACTCCGTTCTCGCTCACAGCCAACGCCAGTGTGGCGTTAGACGACAATAGACTCTTGACTTGTTCGTCGTCTGAAGCATTGGAAGCTGATGTGGACGACGTCATCCCAGAAGCAGAATGTGAGCTGGCAACACCCAACGCATACGGTCGTGTACATGTGTCCAGCTCGCACATGACCACGCCAAAGGAATAAATATCAGCCTTCTGGTCGTACCGCGCGCCTTTGATCACTTCGGGCGCGATCCACGCAGCAGTACCCACCTCCGCCGTCTGAGGTCCACCAGAAGACACGCCTCGCTCTTCATTGCGCTGCTTGTGTCTCTTGCTCACGCCAAAGTCGCTGATCGTGGCCACCCACTTGTTACTGAGCAATATGTTCTGTGCCTTCAAGTCGCGATGCATTATGGGCTCTGCGAACGAGTGAAGATACACCAGAGCATCGGCAACATCTAGAGCCATCGTCAGCTTACTGTGTTTAAAACCAGAGTCCTCGTCGGTCGACCAGCTCCACCCTCGACGCTGACCGTCCAGCATCTGCTGTCTCTCCAAGAACCGCGCTAGATCCCCATTAGGCATATACTCAAGCACCAGGGATAAATCAGCCAGGAAGGACCACGAGATGCCAAGGAATGCTACGATCTTCGGGTGCTTCAAGCTGCCATACAGACGGATCTCTCGAGTAAATCTCTGGAGTTCACGAACACTTTTGGACTTCTCAGGGGCCACACGTTTCACCACCACCTGCTGGTTCTTTGGTTTCCACATCGCGAGGTGGACGACACCACCAGCTCCTTTGGATAATTGCTGGACAACCTCGAGGTCGTGTTGGGGGATCCGATAGCGCTCAAAGTCTGGGTCGCTGCGCACGTCATCGGTCAGAATAGCGGAGCTCATCTTCATCTTGTCGCTCTCTTCGTCTTCGCTGCTTCCCTCGCTTGGCGCGTGTTCACTTTTCAGCTTCTCAGTACGTGCTGCCTTCGCTCGACGCTCATCGATGATCTTCCGCTTGATAGCGAAGAGCATCAGCAGGATGAAGACTGCCGACGCAACCGAGAACAGCAGCAGTAGCAGCGTCGTGAGAGACGTTGACGACGACACTTTATGGGCCTGATACTTCTCGTCAAAAGCGGCATCTGAGGCACCACAAGATGCAAGTCAGCGTTAGACCCCACAAAGTCTTGCTGCAAGATTTCGTACCTGTCAGCACACAGAGCGAGTACGTAGTGTCAGCTATCGTAACTGGTGTCGATATGGCTTCGTCTGAGCACGAGTTCTCTGGAAGAGTCAGGCTTGTTACATTGAAGGCCTCGATCCGCTCAAGAACCTCCAAGTCGGACTTGCACACTTCAAATTGGGTCACACGACTCCCGTTAAGAAATCTGCATGACAAGCACTCGTCAGCGTGGCTCAGAAGACGTTAAGTGAAGGTTGAGAACCCACAGATTGCGAAGGTTGGGTGGGAACCGCACTCCTCGAATAATATTGATGTTGTTTCCCGAAAAGTCCCTGATTATACAGAACGAAGTGTAAGGTTGGCTTGTTCGCCTTTCTAATTGTCAGCGTCCTCTTACATTGTAAACGATCGATAGCACGCACTGAAGTTCGCTCGTCCCAGCACTTCGATCGAGCTGTCTCGCGCGATGCTACACACACCCACACAGTCGTAAACTAGCGTCCCTAACCAGCATGACACTCGCTTGTCGACTCACAGATCGGACAAGTCTGTCGGCGGTGTAAAGTTCCCCCAGTGAACAATTGGCGTCAATGACACATCCCTTACTCAGAAGATCACTGTTAGCAGCAAATCCCACACGTACAGTACCAACAACGAAAAAAAACAACAGAAAGTGAACCTACAGTTGCCGCATCGTTGATGAAAGCACGGCGTCTTCCATTGAGACAAGATTGGTGTTCGTCGCGACGAGAATTTTCGGTCCGTCCTTCCCTTCCGCTGTGATGTTGGCGATAGGGTTTTCTGACACGTCCCTAGTCAGAAATACCACCAGCAATTAGTCAGGTTTTCAATTGAGGGGTCTCGTCCAGAGCCACTCACAGCAGGTCAAGGTGTCGCCAGCTTTCGGGAATCTCGAGACTCGTGAGCTGATTCTGGCTCAAGTATCTGGAGCCAAACCACGTCACCAGAAGTACCGTCAGCCTCTCTTCTTTCATATTCATTGATCTTGTCGTCTTACAACTGCTGCAGCGTCTCTGGGAGCTGCAGATCGCGTGCTTTAGCGACGCTATTGCCCGTTAGGTTTCTGTAATGTTTACCAGCGCTTAACTCAGCATTTGAGCAATGTTTTAACGCAATGAAACAGTCATCGTACAGCTCTGTCAGTGTGGTATTAGTTAGCTCTGCGGCGTGCACTCCTAGACTGGATAACGACGACGCATCTACCACCGACACGTCCGAGCATGTCTCCGCATCGATATCAGCCCTTAGACCTCGCCGTCGACGCGTCTCAGCGGCTAAATAGAGAGAGAAAGAGGAATTGGAGGAGCTGTCGCAATCAGCGAGCAGTGTGGGGACCGAGGGGCACGCCCAGTGGCACGTGACAGACTTCATCAGAGACGGTCAACTACGACTTTGGGTCCAAAATGCGATTGTAGCCACTTGAAAGATTAAGGTGCGATTAGTGGATTATCTTAAGTAACATTTTGGCGCATAAACGGATCCGTAATGTTGGCCTTTTTTATTTATCATATCTGGCAAAAAAAGAACAAAATATTTTAATTTATATTTTTAAATTATATGCTTGAAAAGAACGGAATAAATTGTTTTTTTTTGTTTTAAAAAAAAATACTTACAAAAATGCAACTCTTTTACTCACCCTCAGAGCCTTGTCCAATAAAAAATCGATCATTTTTTCTTTCTTTTTATTTCTCTGAAGTAGCCCTATGGAAATCGAGGTGCCATGACTACCTCTTTTTAAAGCAGCAAAAAGAAATAGGCGCAGCACCAATTTCTTTTGGACAGTGACGGTTTATTTGAGAAAGAATGCAGAGAAGGAGGAAGTTGCTGCGGGCACGAAATCCGCCTACGACGGCGATTTGCGCTCGGAAACACCACATTGTATGGGGGGGGTATAAGGACCAACAGAGAGCGCATACACTCTATTGGAACTCCGTTCCGATCCGCAACACTTCGGATTTGTGAAGGAATATGAAGACCGAATTATTTTAAGTGCTAGTCGTGCTCTTCCAGAGCTCCTACCAACACTCACGGGCTCAACCACGTTCCCGTACAATGACCTGGCCCAACTGATTCTCATCTTGTATATCAATGTCCCATTGTGCCTGGTCTCTAATATGAATTTCAACACGCCCCCCTCGAAGTGCAACTTCGACTACTTAGCGTCCTTCACGCCGGTCAGCTCCTACATCGCCTTCAGGCGGTTTTTGTCAAGCGGCTTGGTGAACGTGTCAGCCGGATTCACCTCATTATTCACCTTGTGCAGTTCAATGATTCCCTTCTGCACCTGCTCCCGCACATAGTGCCACCGGAGTTCAATGTGCCGTGTGCGTCTGCTGTAGGTAGGATTTGTCGCCATAACATGAGCTGCCTGATTGTCAATTCCGATTCGCAGCTTAACCTCGTGCTCTGGTAAAATCTCTTGTAGGATGTTCCCTTCCGCTACAGCTTCCATCGTTGCTTCGCACACTTCCACATACTCCGCTTCCGCCGTCGATAGCGCAACAATCGACTGCCGTCTCGACATCCAGGCAATGGCTCCTCCAGATAGCGTTAGCACGAAGCCCGTTGTGCTCTTCCGCTGATCTGGGTCGTTTGCCCAGTCACTGTCGCAATACCCCTCAAGTATAACTTCCTTTATTTCTCCTTGAGTTCTCGTGTACGTGATTCCATAGTCAAGAGTTCCTGCCACGTACCGCAGTACCCTTTTTAAACTTCGAACAAGTTTCGCCAAGGTTTGGACACGAATCGGCTAAGCTGACCTACCACAAAGGCCAAATCAGGTCTCGTGCTCGTGGCAAGATACATCAGCATTCCAATAGCCTTACGGTAGGGGAAGCTCGTGTCAACGGTCTCCTCCTCACTAGTTTGTGCCAATCGGAAGTTCACCTCCATTGGATTCTCAGCGGCATGGGCATTTTGATACCCAAACTTGCTCAGAATCCCACGCGCATACTTCCCTTGGTGGATTGTGATTCTCTCAGGCGTCTGCTCCACCTTCACACCCAGGTACTCGTTTAGCAGATCTTGGTCTTTAATGCCGTTTGCCTCATTCAGCTCTTCAAACAAGTCCTTCTTGCTCTGCTCATCGTTCGTCGCCACTAGTATATCGTCAACGTACACCAGCACGTACATTATCGTGCTCCCGTCAAAGCTGTAGTACAAACATGGTTCTGTCAGCGACTGCATGTATTCGTGCTTAATGAACCAGTTGTTCAGCTCCGAGTTCCACTCACATCCCGACTGGTGCAAGCCATACAATTCTTTTAACACGACGTACACGTGTCCATTGATCTTGCATGGATATCCATCAATGGATCTCAAATATTGTTGAATTCCTAGCCAGGCATTCAAGTACGCGGTATTGATATCACCGCCATACACCAGTAACCCCAGCTGTGCTGCTAATGCTAGCAACAGTCTGAACGACGCCATCCTTGCCACGGGTGCGAATGTCTCTTTGAAGTCAATACCAGGTCTCTGATAGTTGCCTAGTGCCACAATGCGGGATTTGAAACGAATCACATACCCTGGGTGATCTGACTTGATGTCATACACCCACATCGTGTTTACAGGTGCTGATCCCTCTGGCATAGCATACGCGGGAATCTCAGCAATCACCCCTTTTGCCTTTAGTGCTGCTAGTTCTTCCATCTCGACCATCATGAAGAAGTTACACCACTTTAACCTCAACATTTCACGACGATTGCGTGGAATCTTGATCTCGCTTGCACGAATGGGTCTTCCATTCTTGTCAAGTACTCGCGAGGAATTCATCGTCACATTCACAACGTAGTCATCGAGATATGCAGAACGTTGGCGCTCGCGAACCTCTCGAAGTCCAGTCCGAGTCTTCTTCACGTCTTTCTTGTATGCTTCCTGTTCAGCACGCACCTCCTTCGAAGGAGTCTCATCGCGGTGTGTGCGCTTGCAAGTCTGTCTCCGTTCTACCGGCAAAACAGAACTTGCATCCACTACCTCCCTGTCTGTCTCAGTTTCAGGCAGTGCCTCCTCACCAGTATCGTTCCAGTTCGGCATCCTTGCTGCCCTGGTCTTCAGCAAACACACTTACTACTGTGGTCTCCTCATTACCATCTTGTTCTTCGTGTTCATCCAGGTCAGCTGTGTCAGATCCACAGGTCCCGGCTACAGACACTACTTCGACATCCGCCATGTCGACACTCTCAAACGTCTCCTGGTTGCTCTTGCTCTTACCAGTATCAGTAGCAACATGTTCAGCCAACTTACTCGGCTGCTCACCATCATCTTGTGCGCTTCCGACAGCAGCATCACCGTACTCATCGACCTCAGCCTCGACGACTTCAACATCGAGTTGAACAGTCTCTTCATCCACAACAGAGCTGCCACTGAGCACACCGACGACTTCACTGTCGACATGCTGTACTTGTACCTACAGAGATTTGCACTCTCCGCGTCCATGATCTATCTGCACTTCAGTACGCTCGCCTCTCTCGAGATCAGAAGACGGTACGTCACTCAGCTCGCTCCACTCAGTCTGTTCCTCGTATTCTCCGCGGGTAAAGTGAAGAGAAGAGAGATCATCATCTTCTACTTCAGTTGCGTATCGATCTCGATACAATACATCTTCCGCACCGCCTAGGTCAGGCACTACCTTTGCTGTGTGTTCGTCAGGAAAGTACACCTTACATCCGACGACATCTTCAGCGTACCCCAGTACAAAGCCAATTTTTGCGTGATCACTCAGTTTTCTGCGTCCAGGAGTCACTGGTATATGCACAAAGCCAGCACTCCGAATTTCCTGACGTGATGTACGTCTGGCTTGGCGCCAAACAGCATCTCATAAGGAATTCCGCAAGCTCCCTTGTTGTACACGCGATTTTTCACGTAAACCGCGTTTCTCATTGCTTCCGGCCACAGGCTTCACGGCAACCCCAAGTGTGCCATCGTAGACCGCGTCATGTCTTCCAACGACTGGTGCGTGCGCTCACACAGGTTGAGCTGCGAGCTCTTCGGCCCGACTTTCACATGCTCAATTCCTTTCGAACAATATCACACATCGATCTCGCCATTAAAAATCTCACGACCTTTATCACTCAAGACCTGCAGTACCTTGTATGTCGTCCCATCGGCAGTCCGACCTGCCTGTCGCTCCGCCCACAATACATACTCCTGCATGTACTTGTTCACCACCTTGATGTCCTTGTTCCTCAGCAGATGCACAGTGACAAACCGAGAATAGCCATCCATTATCACCAAAACAGCCTCGTATTGAGTCGCATTGTACTTGCCCGGACTAAAAAGATCCGCGTACACTATTTGGCTGGTGTCTCTTCAGTCCTCAAACCAAAATCTTTCGGTGTGGTCTCATCTTTTGGTTTCCAATGTGACAAGTATCACATGTGTCTTGCTGCCGTTGTGTCAGCACCATTCCCTGCACTAACTCCATGTCAGCCATAGTCTTCAGGTACATTGGACAGATATAACACAATCTCTCATGCTAGAGCTGCTAACGAACCTACCCCTTGAGCCATGGTGCGGTTGCACAGTGCTGCTACTTCAGGAATTACTCTTGCCTGTTGAGTTGTACCTGCTACCTAAAATCCCCAAGTGGCTTCGTGTGGCATTGCAACAGCCACTGTTCTTCCTTCTCTCAAGATGTGTAAATTCCTGGTTTCATTGTCGAATTTCAGAGTAAAACCCTGCTCGAAGGCCAAACTCGGAGAAAACAAGCCATACTCAGCATCAGGAATGTACAACACTCCATCGAGATAGATCACTACCCGTTCTCCGTTACAAATGTCGAAAACGCCATTGTTCCCATTCCTACTATTCGAGAAGCAATTGTAGGCGTAACCCCTCGGATATGTTGCAAATTTTCCGAGTCTGCCGTGTAGGACACGAACTCAGCGAAATTCCCCGTGATGTGCGAGTTGGAGGCCGCATCTAGATACCATCACCCGCCACTGAGACTCCTAGCCTCTTGATCACTGTCATTCAGATGTACCTCGACACTGTCTGCCTCAGGATCACTCACTGGGTCTCCACCACTCACGATTCTATATCCCGTGCATCATCAGTTTGAAGGTCCCGACCTTCAAGATGGCCTCCAGCTCCTCGAGCTGTGTCTTCATGCACGAATTCGCTCACTCCACGTGCTCCGCCGCGCTCCCGAGAAGCGTGATGAGCCTCGCGAGGCGTCACAACACCCTCGTCCTGCTCTCGGCTCATTCGCACCAGTACAGCGGTCTCCTGTCGTAGTGTGCAGCTACTGTGTGGATTGCGCTTCTGCTCAGCGTCATCAGCCTTCTCCTACACCTTCAACTTATTGGGACAATTTATTCGGATGTGGTCTTCACCCCCGCAAGAATAGTATTTCCGCACTTTCTTGAGTT